CGGGTAGTCAGGCTCGCTGACTTGGTTGACACATGTCATCGGTTCCCAATTGCGCAGATCGATGCTTATGCTGTTGATCACTGGATTGTCTGGTCAAGACTCGATTATTTACAGACCGCCGCCATATAGCTGGAATATTGCTGAGTGCGGCGTAAAACTAAACTCACTCACTCAGAGAACAATTCTACACACACTTTACAAGATATAGCTCAGTGTCTCTTCCAATATATCACCACTGCAAATTTTAATATCATATATATTTTCTACATGAACTAACTATCATTTCGTCACAGGCGATAGTAAATTTCTACATTGATTATCATGTCATTTCGTCATGACGATCGTAATTTTCTACAGTGGCACAACATTGCGGTCAGGGTGACCTCAGATCGTGTTGATCCGGTGTCCACACAACGCTAGGCTACAGGCGCGGGCTTAAAGCTGCAGGTCAAATACTGGATCCACACACATACTGACCTTTAATGAGGTCAGGTGAAATAGGGACTAACGAGGTGTTCAAATATACTGCACTTATGCAGTGATGTGCACGTGTGTTCCAAGTTATGAGAAATACGTCGATTATAGCGCAAATAAAACGTTTTGACTGCACATAGGAACATACGTACGTGTGTACACTCGTTCAGTGATATTAAATAAGTAGACGGCTATCTGTGAACGAGTGTTGGACCTAGGACGTATTATTTTCAGCAATACAAGGCCCTGTGTCCCCCCACACCCATCATCCCATGGATGTGAATGTCCCAGATGGCAGTGTAAGTGGCATGACTGACGATGTAAAACATATCACATGATCTCTCTCGGCTGACGAAAGAAAGTCCAGGTGTTGCAGGAGAGGTGAATCAGCGAAGGTGTGGCAAACTTCCATATGACAGTGCTTTGTGTAGATATATTGAAGGGCTTTGATTTACTGCACACACAACAAACGATGTTCTAGTTAATATGTTTCAATAAAACATACGTAGCGGACGAAAGAGAATAACAATCCAACTTGAAATTTTGAATTTGTGGAATAAATGCATAAATTATTCTTTACTTTCTAAACTCACAAGCTGTATGCTTCTGCCAGTGTCAAATACGTTAGATGGAAGCATATGCTCAAATGGAAGACGCGGAGCCAGTTTCTTTCTTATCTGTATGTCGTGGACTTCTGACATGATCGAATACATATTAATTTATTAAATGCAAAGTCATGGAAAAATAATGTTTTGTCTACAAGTTCCAACAGAAATCCAACTATTGCCAAGACAATGACTCCAATGCAAGGTTATTCTTTTACCATGTTGGTTCTGTGTGCATCTACTGCCAAAAGTAACATGACCTAAAGATTTGCCCATGATGAAATATTTGATAAACTCTTACGGAAGATCCATAAAGACAACCATATGCATACTGTTTTATGCTTACTTATGCATTTAGCGTTGCCAAAAGGCCTATCATGCTCATTCATATGAACACATCTGATAATTTTCATACAAATATTCGACAGGTCTTAATCCGTCCTAGGATCTAAGTTCTTAACCTACATATCGTTCTCTCAAGCGAAGGACTTCATCTCCTCGGGTAATTGCTGCTGGGCCCGTGGAGATCCTGGTTTAAATTCAACGCGGAGATTCGGGTTATAAAGCAATTGTTGGTCTTCAAGAAGCAAAGATTTGTGGTATGAGGCGACTAACGGGATCTGGCGGCAATGCTCATTTATGTGATTGATTCATGTCATTGTAGCTGAATGATAGCTGAGAACAGCCTTGAACAACATACAAACCGAAAACACCCCACGAAAGTGAAATACGCGTGACATCATGATCCCAGTCTAATGTCATATGAGTGAGTGAGTGAATTTAGGTTTACGCCGCACTCAACAATATTCCAACTATATGGCGGCGGTCTGTAAATAATCGAGATCCACACAATTGGGAACCGATGACATGTGTCAACCAAGCCAGCGAGTCTGACCACCCGATCCCGTTAGACGCCTCATACTACAAGCATGGGTTACTGAAGACCAAATCTAGCCCTGACCTTCACGGGTTAGTTGACAAAGAGCTTTTTGTCTGTGCCATGTCTAAAAATACCCCATTATATCTATCTGAGAATCTATGATGTGGTTATACTCAGTTTATTAGTAAAGACATTTAGCAAACATTGATGTATGGATATCAGTTGATAGGGTCGAGGTAAGGTTGTCATACGGTACAAGCTGTGATAAACAACAGCAAATCGCCCTATATATTGAACCTATATGTCGTAATACATAACCAAGCAAACGAGTCCAAATGTCCTGAAAGTAGGTCACACGTAGACACGAGAGACAAGAGTTTTCTGATGAAAGGGGGCTGATGAAATGTTCTCGAACTGTCGTGAAAACGTGGAGGTCATTTTCATGTAACTATAGCCACACGCTTTGTATGAATAGGTCGCCTTAAACAGCTTTGGATGCTTTCGAATATGTAGGGTCCTACTTTACAGGAAAAGCATAAATAGTCTGAAACATCGAGAAGACTTTCAAGCCAGTCGCTTCTCCCTCAACAAATAACCTATCTTGCACGTACTGATCTGTTTGCCCACATATCCCGTACCAACAAACTGGAACGGAACGAAGGCCTCGTATGCCAGTATGCTGGTACAGAATATCAGTCGCATGGTCAAACCAGACTGTCGCGCAACCCTATTTGCGCTACAGTTTGCCTGTGGGTCTCCGAACATGTTCCCAAAGTCTTTCGTTTCCTGACAAATATTCCTCTTTTTCTTTCATCATGAAACTTCGTCGTGGTGACCTTTGTTGGTTTTCTATTCATGTTTCGCCTCTGTGTAGAGTGGAACTGCATAGTGTCCACTTCCTGTCACGTTGTGCACGAAGTGAGCTCCATACACATGTTCATGTAGGGCAACTGACGAATGATCATGGTTAAGGTGTATTATATTGAATTTTGAAAATTCTTGCAAACCACGAAACAGCTAATTGGAGAAAGCTACGTATTGCCATGTAACCTATGAACTTCGGTCTCGACCCTGCACGTATGGAAAATCAGGGAATAGTGATATACTATCAGATCACTATGCTGCCAGTACCGTCATATTGGCATAGTAACCACTTATCTGGCTGGTCGGCGTGTTACAGTCCCCTGTGGTATCACCAACCCTACGACAAAATGTATGTTTCAGTGTTTTATACTTATTACTTAATGTCTAAATGACTTATATACATGGTCACCCTTTAACCAGTGAATGTTAACAACCATAGGTTATACACGAAACAGGCAACAGCAACACAAGATATGGCACATGTAGTTGTAAGCTAATTCACTGCATCCATATCAACAGAAACATTGACCATCCAAGGCATCCACATGATCAGTAACCATGGTGACACATGACCTCATGGCATCCACATGATCAGTGACCATGGTGAGACATGACCTCAAGGCATCCACATGATCAGTGACCATGGTGACACATGACTTTACTGCATCCACATCATCGGTGACCATGGTGAGACATGACTTTACTGCATCCACATCATCGGTGACCATGGTGACACATGACTTTACTGTTTCCACAATTTGGTGACCATGATAAGACATGACTTCACTGCATCCACATCATCGGTGACCATGGTGAGACATGACTTTACTGCTTCCACATAATCGGCGACCATTGTGACACATGACTTTACTGCATCCACATCATCAGTGACTATGGTGAGACATGACTTAACTGCTTCCACATAATCGGTGACCATGGTGACACATGACTTTACTGCATCCACATCATAGGTGACCATGGTGACACATGACTTTACTGCATCCACATCATCAGTGACCATGGTGAGACATCACCTCACTGCATCCACATCATTGGTGACCATGGTGACACATAACCTCACTGCATCCTCATCATCGGTGACCATGATGAGACATGACTTTACTGCATCCACATCATCAGTGACCATGATGAAACATGACTTTACTGCATCCACATCATCGATGACCATGGTGACACATGACTTCACTGCATCCACATCATCGGTGACCATGATGGGACATGACTTTACTGCATCCACCTCATTGGTGACCATGATGAGACATGACTTTACTGCATCTACATCATCTATGACCATGGTGAGACATGACCTCATGGCAGCCACATCATCTATGACCATGGGAGACATGACCTCATGGCAGCCACATCATCTATGACCATGGTGAGACATGACCTCATGGCAGCCACATCATCTATGACCACGGTGAGACATGGCCTCATGGCAGCCACATCAACTATGACCATGGGAGACATGACCTCATGGCAGCCACATCAACTATGACCATGGGAGACATGACCTCATGGCAGCCACATCATCTATGACCATGGTGAGACATGGCCTCATGGCAGCCACATCATCTATGACCATGGTGAGACATGACCTCATGGCAGCCACATCATCTATGACCATGGTGAGACATGGCCTCAAGGCATCCACATGATCAGTGACCATGGCGAGACATGGCCTCAAGGCATCCACATGATCAGTGACTATGGTGAGACATGACCTCAAGGCATCCATATGATCAGCGACCATGGTGACAAATGACTTTTACTGCATCCACATCATCTATGACCATGGTGAGACATGACCTTATATGGGATCCACATCCTGAGTATTTATGAGTGCCTGTTTGTTATGTCATGACAGTGAAGCTGAGCAGCAGATGCCAAAACAAACGGTTCCTGAACACACTGCACGGCAGCTGGAGCGGTCTTAGTAACCATTCAAAGTCTCACACAAAGACTGACTGACTGAGTTTGGTTTAACGCCGCTTTTAGCAATATTCCAGCAACATCACGGCGGGGGACACCAGAAATGGGCTTCACACATTGTGCCAATGTGGGGATTCGAACCCGGGTCTTCGGCGTGACGAGCCAACGCTTTAACCATTAGGCTACCCCACCGCCCCCTCACACAAAGAACAACAACACTGATGTAAAATTGGTATGATTTATCCACATAATGTTTCCGTTCTACACAGGCATATTTCAGGATATTTCTATATTCTGCTGCTGGAGACAGCATCAGTGATACAGGAGGAAAGAAAAGCTACATCCTGCAGGCATCAGTACCATTCCAATTCTCTAAAGATAATCACATCTACTTCAGTCAAAGAATGACACTACTTGAGAAAGTTACTTAAAGGAAAGAGAAACATAGAAAATAATTATTCCAATTCTAGAAAGCTCTGAATAATTGTGAAATATATCCTGATCACAACTCTATCATGAAGTTCACACAGCACCAGCCAAAAAAATTGCTTGTCAGACATTCAACCTTTACACATCGGTCATATACAAAGATTACCAATCATCTGTAAACAAACAAAGCCAAATCAACCATGTGAAACACTGACATTCAGACGGAAACACTTCCTTACTTATGTGTACAGATTCGAAAAAATAACTTTCACAAAGCTTGGATTAGGATTTAATCTTATATTTCCTTACACAATAACAATCAACAACATCATATTATATCAGTCATGTCTGAAAAATACCCTCAGAAAATATGATACTGAACACAGTATTACTATTCTGAAGCACTTGAATCACCAACTTGTACTACAAACTTGATCCCAGTTAATGCTTAGTATGGCCTTCTAAACAAGGCAATGAATCTGTGGTAAAGCTAGAAAACCCTTCACACGAACACCCAAGGATACTGTCAGTAACTGAACAACTGGAATGAATAAATCAGAAAGAAGAAACTTGTTCTTACAATTTGTGTTGGCCTCTTGGTAGAGTGCCACGTGTAAAAGGGTTAACACAGAGTCCTTAGCACTAGTGGTGTATTATGTGAAGGTGAGCTGTCTAGTTGGTTGGAGCAATGACGAACCTATACACAAGAGCTGCGGCAATGGCGATACCAAGAGGAAGCAACCATCCGGTCCAGCTGCTGCTTCTGAAACAAAATACACGCTCAGAATGAAGCTACAGCGTTTCAAAGTAACCGTGAGCATCAAAAGCCCTGTCCATGTACAAATAACATACTCACTCACTAGCTATGTTCAATGCAGTGCCCCAATTTGGGGGCCTTGAGGTTAGCTGTTATGGATTTGAATGTGGGTCACCTATCAAATCATTTTATGCCGTCTTAAGCATTATTTCAACAATATCACGGCAGGGGACACCAGATATGGGCTTCACACACTGTACCCATATGGGGAATCAAAAGCAGGTTGTCAGCGTGATGAACTAATGTTTTAATCACGAGGCTTCCCCACCATCCCTTAAACATAAGCTAAGAGGGCAAATTAGATCTATAATCACAATCTAACAGAACAGCAATAACTATGATATATCCTTGAAATGTGCGTAATAACTGTTAGTTTGGTGTCCACAATGAAGTAATGTTTTACTTCCAGTTTGTAGGCAATTGTTGGTTATTCAATATGCCTCCTGATGAAATACACCACCAGCCAGTATGTAACTCAGTGGAGCAATATACATGTTACATGCACTGCCAATTCAAGCTACTCTGAGGAAAAGGTCAGCCAGCACTGCACAGTGGTGTTGACGCAATTAGTTCATTCTGTCATCACAGCTCACTGGCATTGTCTCCCACAGTATATGTGCACAGCAGTATTGAAATGGTAAATCATGATAACGAAACAGCTTAAAACATAATCTGCATGATGCAATAATGTCAAGAGTTACCTTTATCGCTGTTACAATACATATTATTGTTGGAGGTGTGATCTGTTGTATGAGAGTAGCACGAAGAATCAGAAGAAAATACTTTTTAACTTACTCATTCCGAACTCCAACTTGTGGGCCTGTGTTAGTCTGCAACAGAAAATGAAAACTGGTGTGACATGGCAAAAAGAGCATCCAACATCCAGTTTGAAGACCTAAATATGCACCATGTATAGTCTTTGTACACCTAGATCTGAACCATAGTCTTTGTACACCTAGATCTGAACCATACATAGTCTTTGTACACCTAGATCTGAATCATAGTCTTTGTACACCTTGATCCGAACCATAGTCTTTGTACACCTGATCTGTACCATGTATAGTCTTTGTACACCTAGAACTGAATCATAGTCTTTGTACACCTAGATCTGTACCATGCAGTCTTTGTACACCTGATCTGTACCATGTATAGTCTTTGTACACCTAGATCTGAATCATAGTCTTTGTACACTAGATCTGAACCATAGTCTTTGTACACCTGATCTGTACCATGTATAGTCTTTGTACACCTAGATCTGAATCATAGTCTTTGTACACTAGATCTGAACCATAGTCTTTGTACACCTGATCTGTACCATGTATAGTCTTTGTACACCTAGATCTGTAACCAAGAACAGATTTGTACACCTTGATCCGAACCATAGTCTTTGTACACCTAGATCTGTACCATGCAGTCGTTGTACACCTACATCTGTACCATGCATAGTCTTCCTTCACAGTGAAAGTTATAGCAGCATTAAACAGGTAATTTTCAGGAGACCATAAGAATTATTTTCAGTTAGTGAAAAAATCTATCTCCATGTGTGTGGTGTGCGTAGGTTTGCAGGGAGGGGAGAAGACGTTCGATGAAACTGGATTTAAAGTACAAGATTTAAAGACAGATGAGAAAGTTGGGATGAAACCGTATTCCAGTTATGTCATGGCAAGTGTCTCGGACATGTACCACTTCAGTGAAGCAAAGAGGATGGGGATGGTGCTGATAAGCGTAAAAATACAATCACCAGACCAGGATTGGAACCTAATGAAGAGCATGCATGCATTTTCTTGAAAGGATGGTGTGGCAAGCCCGCTCATTCAATGGCCATTCAGGCAGTCCCTCTGTGTGAAGCAGGGATTTACAGGGAGCGAATTCCTGCATCCTATACACATAAAACCGTACAACGAACACAACAAAATTATTAGCCCGTCCACAGGGACTCACAAAAAGTCCAAATACTTTTTGTAAAAATTCCAATCAAGTGACAATAAGTTATCACTGAGTTTGCTACTAGCCGGGTTATGGTATTATTTGCTATTTAATTACTGTAACAATGGGATGATCATGATACAAAATACAATAAATAGTATTAATAATAATATTTAACTTAAGTGTCTGGGACCCCCATTTTGTTGTCCATAACCCCTGAAAATTAAGAGTGAGTCCCAGGGACCCTCAAAAACAGAACTCAAGGTAAATCCCTGGTGAAAGTTTGAGAAACGCCTCTACAGGTTGCTTCAAGTGAAGTTTCTATTCAGCAAAAGACATGCCTTCTAAATTCCTGGTACGATAACATAGTATTTAGGCAAGCACATCTGATTTCTGCAACACTGCGGACTAAGCTCTGACAAAACATATGTAAGTCATGCCATTAAATACATGGAAAAACAGTCACACTGACCATCTAGGTCCAAAACAATATTTGCATTGTGTGTGTACTGTAAACGTAGTATATTTCGCGCAGGTTTTATTTTCGCGATTTTCGCGCAAAACATTTTAGCGCGAAAATTTATACACCGCGAATAAACCATAACACATGAAGACAGAAATCTACGGGAATCTTAAAATGACGACTGATAGTAGCATAAACAATCATACTTACTAGTAACTGTCGCTGTAATGGATTTCCCAAAACATAATTAAATAATGAGCCAAATCCCATCCCCGAATTAGCGAAAACAGCAATGTGTGTTGTGGCCGCCATGGAAATTGGTCACATGACAGATGGTTTGATACAAAACAGATTACCATGAAACGTCTCGGAAAGAAATAATACAGCAGTATTTTATTTATTCATTTAGATACAAACGTATCATCATGAAGCGAATAGTCACTTAACACTCAATCATCTCATTCACAACAACCCGGCTTGTTTGAAATCACAAAAAGCTTCATATACAGTATAAGTTAATTCGTCAGATCGTCAGAATTCGGAACATAAGACTGATGTGTTTTTCATCTCTTCCGGGAGTAAACGGGTTACTGTGTACTAGTATATCGCACAGATAGGGATTTCCTGTGAGTAAGCAATAAACACCGCCTGACAGGTTAAGCCACTCTGTTTGTTTTCACTGCTATTAGTGGCGGCCAAAGAGACAACTGGCAGTTCCGGCAATTACTGATTGCGCGAATAATTGACCGCGCGAAGTAGTCTAAACTGTCAATTCCGCGAAAATTGCACCACGCGAAAATAAGTACGTTTACAGTATTTAAATTAGTACAAATCAAACTCTCCGCATGAAGTGAAAAACCCCAAAACTCTGACTGGTTCGAGAACCTACACATGTTCCTTCTGGAAAGGTTGGTTTAAGCAACTTGGAGTGACCTGTGGAGGTGTCCTCCAGATGTATGGCATCAGAATAGAAGAACTGATGTTAATTAGACAGGTTATGCGTATCAGCTCTAGTGAGCAAATGGAAAACATGTGATATTTTGGTAAAGATGGAAAGATGAGCAAATCATGCCAGTAGTAAACAGGGAGTCTGACGGATATAATCCTTGGTTACCGTGGTAACATGAAAGTTTGTTGTTCCTCGTGGTCCTCCATCTAATTCTTTAACACAGAAACTAGCATTGGGAATTGGTTAAAATCTCATAATCAATGATTGGTCCATTACAACCAATCAATCATCAAAATTAATTGGTAAGCATCATTTATCAAATGTTCCTGTTATCTTTGATAATGCACACACACAAATAACGAAAAAACATGTAGTTCTTTGGGGTTGTATTTTGCAAATTGCACATATTAAAGGATGACTAGTATGTTAGGAACATAAATTTCCTGAGTCTTTAAGATAAATTCAATCATGACTTGGAATGAGTGAGTTTAGTTTTTCGCTGGACTCAGCAATATTCCAGCTATATGGCGACGGTCTGTTAATAATCGAGTCTGGACCAGACAATCCAGTGCTCAACAGCATGAGCATCGATCTGCACAATTGGGAACCGATGACATGTGTCAACCAAGTCAGCGAGCCTGATCACCCGATCCCGTGAGTCGAAAAGTTAGTAAAAAATATTGTTCATGCAAACAAGTGTTCCAAAATTGTTTGTGTTCGAATATTAGAAAACATGTTCGATTGGTCGTCTAGTCACTGCGATCAATCTCTGATTATTTGAATAAATCGGACCACCACTAACCAAAACCATCGGCAGAACATTTTTAATCTAATGTCAGTGGAATAAGAGGCACATTAACAGAAAGGAAAAAAAAAATACATACTTGTAAAGGTTGAACAATGTGTGCAGGTGGTTAAGGTACATGAATCTACAGTGTCTCAGCATCCCATCAGAGTACCATGCTAAAGTAATCAGCCCAGTATCAGAGCAATCAATTCAACCTTGTTGTACTGCCTGTACATGTAAAGTAGCCTCTACTCAATGCTCTGTGAACACACACTTCACTCAGTACATTCAGAGACAGTATCTACGACATTTGGCCGAAAAATACTCTGAGGCTGTTATAGATATGCCAAATTAGATATGAAATTACCAAGATGACACAAGCACTATAGGACCTTGAGGCTTTGGGTTGTGTCTTGAACTTGTTAAATGATTATATATAGTGATGAATTTTTAAAATGATATCAATATAATAATTATTGAATTGATATTAATGTTCCAAACACATCATCTAAGTCGATCCACTCTGTACTTGCTTGCGCGCCCATTTCCAACTATTATATCAGTCGATGCGTATTCACATCTGGTAAATCCTGACACATAACGCTGTCAGCCTAAGCTACCAGCCCACATCATCCAACAAATATCACTCATTCACAGGCAAAGCAATGAGTCATTCTGATGAGGTGCAAATAGTGTTTGAAGAAGTGTTAAACATCGGACAAGAACAAATCGTGCCAATGTCTAGCAGAGAATTAGTACTCATTTCATAACTGTTGACTACGTGCTAACACTGAAACAATCATAGCATAACATTTATGTTAGCATGCTGCAAGACTATGGCATGATGCACAAGAAATATGACTGATTTCACAAGAACACTCTGAAGGTCTAACAGTCACTTGATTCCCTTGCAGGGATTACATAGGATATACTTTAGAAGGGGCCCTCAGTGGGTTCCTCTGCCTTTGACTTCTAACCGGATCCCCACAAGGAGTCTGCCTAACAACGAAGTTGCTGGTGGGAAGAGTATGGGAGGGTGTGCCCTGCCATTGGTGGGGGTTTCCCCCATGAAAGTTTTGCAGTTTTGTGTGCAATTTGGTGGCATTTGAGTTCCTTCCAACCTGATTTGACAGGATATTTCATGTGCTGCTTGTCACATTATTTAGTGCAGCTTTTAGAAGGCAAAGGAAAGTGCCAGTGAAACCAATGAAAGTGAAGTCTTCCTGAATGCAATAGTCAGGAACTCACTGTACCAGACAACAGAACAGATAACTGAAACTCCTTCCAATGTTAACAAACAAACATGGCTGATGAATGAGAGACATAGACACTTATGAAACCAGGAATACAACAGAAAATAACTTCCCACTTGGGAAACAATAGAAACCCTACACTCATTTGTCACTCACCTTAATATTTCTGTCACTCTTATCATCCTGCAAAGCAGAAGAAATATGCTATCATGAAATGAAATTTGTTAAGGGTATTTTCTTTATAGTCTTCAGTTCAGAGCAATTGGTGGTAATTTGAATTGAATATGTTTCCTGTAAAACAAGTGTTCAAACCATGCTTGCATCATTTGTCTCTCTCATCACTGACCATAGGAACTTGTTAGAAACTTCAGAAATATTAATTCAGAGTGAACATGTGTTATATGAAGGAAAGTGAAGGAGTGTTGGTGTGACCCATGTTTTAATAGTAAGTTAAGCAGTAAGTATATAGTAGTAAGCAGGTAAGTATATGCTCCAGTACCCCATGTCCTCATTGTTATGGTGGTGGAATTGGGTTTAACGTCGTGCTTGAGAATATTTCGCTCATATGATGACGTGCATTCGTGTGTATGTGCGGCTGCTTGTACTAGCCCAGACTTAAACTGGTTTTATAGTGCTAGCCCACTGAGATACCATGCCGTAGTGAAGCATGAATACCCCACTCAGACACATTATACTGACTCCGAGCCGACCAGTCCTTGTTGTACCCATTAATGCCGAGCGCCAGGCAGGGACCAACAAGTACCATATTTTAAGGTCTTTTGGTATGACGCGGTCGGGGATCGAACCCGCAACCTTCCGCACTCCGGGCGGACGCTCTAACCACTACACCACGGAGGCGGTATCATTGTTAATATGTTATGGACTGCCAGAAGGGGTCAATGTGTGGATTTCTAGATTCTAGCTCTGATATTGCTGGAATATTGCATAAAGCAGCGTAAACCCATGCTGACTAAATTCTGAACAGTGAAAATGCCTATAATGCAAGAAGGAAATTCAACAATGTCTTTTTCAAAGTAAAAAAACATTATTTTATACTTCTCCTGACCCACACTAATTACTTTCATGGATAAGAAAGCACAAGGAAAAATATCTTTCTGATGAAATTGATACAAAGGAGACTGCAACTACATTTCTTACAACATTTGAATACAAAATCGGTGGCCATAACCAAATGCTACTGCTAGAATGAAAAAAAAATGTTTATGCTGCAAATCCCAATGTTTGATAATATCAGCAGCATCCATTGTATCATTTGAGATTCCTAATTGCTTGAAAGCAAGTCTTAAAATCCATCAAGATAAAGCAGATAGGTGTTAGCTTTGCTTTAGATATAGTTATAAATTTCCATCTTATACACTACCCACCTCATGCAGGTTCCCAATCAAATAATCCTTCATCAACTCTCGGGCATCTGTAGAATGTCCTACATCTTCAAATGATTCGGTGGCATCATCACCTGTAGGAAAACAAGGATGCTATCAAAATACAAACAGGCTGATACTACATTTCTCGGTAACGTTAAGGTGGAAAGTGTGTCAAAATGTGAAAATACAAATTCATCTCATGAAAACAAAATTCAAAATAAATTCCACATTCAAATCATATTTCCGGACAATTTCAACAATGATTAAGTAGGTAACAAATTCAGGAACATGAGGAAGAGGCTGGAGTCAATCAAGTCAAGTATTTGAGCATGTGGATTGATAAACCTTACAACTTTATTTATGTTCCACAATCATGTGCAACAGTTAATTTTGATCACAGTCGATTGTGATGTCATGTTCATAATTCTGAAAGTATTTCTAGATTTTTTAATGAGAGGTATATCATAAATAATCGCAACAAATAATTATCATTGATAATTCTTGAATCCAAAAGCTTTGACAGGTTGCTTGGAGTTGGGCTACCTTGTAAAGCTACAGTTTCCACTCCCTTGCCATGTCATCAACAAATGTCACATACATACAGCCAGCTGTTTACTTCTTTCATATTGTGAAATGAACATCTGTAAGATTAATTGAATTTACCCCCACTTGTTGAGAATTGACACTTGATTAGAATCACACTTTGTAACATTCAGGGTGGTGGGTAGCCTAATGGGTAAAGAGTTCGCCCGTCACGCCGAAGACCTGGGTTCGATTCCCCCCATGGGTACAATGTTTGAAGCCCATTTCCATTGTACCCTGCCGTGATATTGCTGCGATATTGCTAAAAGGGGCGTAAAACTAAACTCACTCACACTGTAACATTCAGTGAAATTAATTAAATCTCAGAATGATATTTAAACTGCTCATTTTGTTATTGTATTAATAACAATGAAGAATGACAATTAAGATTTTTTATTGACTTCACAATTGTCACCCATAAGTGACCTGAATAATTTAGAGTTTGGTAAAAGTAGCACAACTCCTGTGTGTGACATGTGGCAACGGAGCCAGCATGTTAATGAACATTATGAGTTTATTATTATGCATGACAGGTCTGCTACAGATAGAGTTAGTAGAGTAAAACAGCACAATGCTGTGTGGACTACCTGCTTGCTCCAACAAAACCTCCTCTCCTCCAGGGTGCTGAAACATAACATATCGTCTTCTTAAATATGCAGTCTCGTTTAAATATGCAGTCCTTTCATCTGATCAAATTAGGAAAGTGACAGAATGAGTTTTCTAATTACTCAAACTCAAAAAGGGTTAACACCGGGTATACCAAATGAGTAACTAAATCTGACAAATCTTAGTACATCTGATGAAATCTTTGTACATCTGATGAAATGGGATACACATTTAAGGGGAAGACACTTGGTAGGGAAGTTCTGTTATACAATCTAGGCTATCTATTAGCAATTCTAGAACATTCTTTGGTTCATTTCTCAAATATTAAAGTAAGAGCTTTGCCTAAATATTTTTCAAAGTCTGGAATGGAACGCCAGTTTGAAACTAGTGCAGAGGTACAGATAAGCTGCGTATCTGCGTAAATTACGCAAACATTTATGTGAAAACTCAATTCCTTTCAAGTCTATTGCGTATAAGTCAGTGTTCACGAATAGCGTCTGACCCTCTGACAAAAGATTTGCCAACGGTCCGATAGAAGTCTACAACCCACCAGCCCCAGTGTCTGACTGTATATTTCACAATGACTTTGACTGAAGTTGTTATATGGGACATGTGACACTTGTTGGCTATTTATAAATCTTATGTTTCTTAATAATTTCAATGCCAATTATAAGAAATGTTAAATCTGAAATGTGTGTTAATTTTATTCTAAGGGTCCTGTGAATTTTCAGTGGGTCAGACAGACATCTGAAACTTACAGGACCCAATGTCCTGTTACTTTGAAACACCCTTCGTGAACACTGATAAGTACGCTTGAATTTTTGTAAATACTCAATAAATTTGATCTAACATGAGTACACACAAAGATGTCAACTCTTAGCTTGCGTACTGTAACATTCAGCAAACCTAGTAGAATTTGAAGTAAGTAAGCAGACCCATGCGCTACATATGGAGGTTACTGAGGAAAGATACAATAACTGACTCAGAGGTATATTGAGAGGTTCTATTTCAGCACATGAACTTGGCAACTTGCAGTCTTTCTTATCTTTTCTCGTATTACAGATCAAATATAAATAGCACACACGTTAACCAACATTTAAACTATATTCTATTTTCACAAATAATGGAAAATGGTAAAATACCCAATTGAGTTTGAGTGAGGTGAGTACAATTCATTTGGTTACTCAAATGAAAATTAGCATACCCAATTGAGATGAACACAAGCGAGTACATAACTCAATGACCAAAATGACCCATCTGTAGCTCTGCTAGTGCCACAGTGCTCTAAAAAGCTGCTTTCGTAGTGGCTGATGGACACATTTTGTTTGTCATCTTATTGGTGGGTCAAAGTTTATGAGAAGGCATTCTGATATGACTGGTGATGGGATCTTTGTTTTATAGTAGTGACAATTGAGATCTTTCGATAAGACTGTCAAACATTGTGAAAGTGTTCACTCAACTTCATACTTCACTGAGTGTGCTTTGTACTCCAGAAACAGTCTGCTCTAAAAACGTAAACTTACCTATACAAAATGTGTCCGAAAATTTGATAAAATAACCTTAGTATATTGCCACAATATGCTATACTAGTACTACACTCATTCACTGTGGAGAGATACCATGTTTATCAAATTCACAATGTAAAGGGTGTTATCACATGGTCGTTTAAAAATTTTTGGGATATGGGCGGAAGTGTTACCCAAACGGATTTGTTGGGACATATAAACAAGACAAATGAACTGGTGAATGTGTAGAACTGGTGAATGTGTAGAACAGGTGACTCGCAAATGTCAAACACAAACATTTCTCATACAATTTCATTTACTTTCTTGTGACATTTACCTGTCACCAATGTCACTAATTCTACTGATAGCAGTGCTGTGTTTTTGATGTTTCAAGCCTTTGGCAGAAAAGGACTTGAAAAGTCAGCTTAAGACAGCTACTGTACCATTGTGTACGATCAATTCAATGCTGAAATTCTCCCTATTGACACAGTACATTCACAGATCCCCTTAGTTTATCCTGTACAGAAGTTAGTTATTTGAGTCACGTATACCTGTTTATCTTGACATGCTTCAAGTCACGTGCCCAGGTGGACTGCACACAAGCTATAGCCCTACCACCTTCGCTACGATCATTTAGTTGAAAATACCAAGATAGCAATGCATCAATTATCGGCATACCAGAAAATACAATATTTCGTTTCTAACATTACACATGACAAGAGTACTACACATTTCGAAAAGAAACAACCAGTATGAAACTAGTCAACGACTGAATGCCATGAGATGACTCTGCATTTCAGGATTTGTCAAACCAAACTTGTTCCAAGAGCCGGTTGCATGCAATCTGTATCTTACCTCTTCCAAAAATTTGGTCACATCATACACTTGATTGTGAATAATAAGCCACGACGACTTTGAATCTTTGTGCTGTTTTACTTCGGACAGACGGTAAGTTTTGAGTTTCTCCGTCATGATTCTTGACCTAGTGCAACCGGAGGAAGTTGGATCCACAAAATGGCGGTAGTGGTGGTTTCTGGGAAGACGGAGTTGAAAGCTTCAGTTTCCTTCTCCTTGTGAAAATTTATACGTAGTATACGTTACAATTAGTTTTAACATGAATGACGCTATACAATAAATTTTGCATTGCTTGTATGCGACGTATAATTATCCAATCCAATCACATACGCGTATGCGCACCTGCCCACAAATACAACCAATCAAATTACTGCTGCCTTATAGCGGTCAAGGTGACCTATTGCACGCTGTAAACACGCAGCCACCATCTACTTGGGGAAACTTTCAAGTGAATTGTATCAACAGGTAAGACGTGTTCCTCAGTTTCGGGTGATCGTAGATGGTGTTTGCTGCCCTGTCTGTTTCAAATGGATAGGAACGAAATGAAACCTTGTCAATCCAGCTTTGTTATGCTTTATGTAAAAACAATTCATGTTCACCTAAGCACGAACTGCATAAGTACTGTCAGAGATACGATCAATACAATATTCAGAAATTCAGATAAAGTCAACAATTTCACGTGGCTCTGTCTTCTGAAGTTTTATGTTTACATAATGTTGATTGTTTTGTTATAAGAGTTAATCAGGTGTCACAAGCGTAGGTGTGCTTCAGACAGCAGGCATGAGCAGTGTCAGTTGTACCATTGAAAGAGCACTCGTATGTCAATGATTTTCGGTTGCCAAATATAAACAGTATTAGGCCCAGTGATGCAAAACCAGCAGGTCTGTAAAATCACGGACTACTTAGTAATTACACGTTTGGTTACATATGGTTGTGCATTGAAGAACAGTTTGAAAGGCCCCAGTCTTATAGTAATCTGGTGTGGTATTTAAGTCCATTGAGAGGTGGAGGTGAAATGAAATTAATTTGATTTAACATGGAATTCGTTTCTTTCAAATGCTTAGCTTAGTTGCTCTCCTTCTGAGACCTTTATGCAGAGGGCCTTGAGTGGATGGCACTACGTTGTATGCATAGTCTTTGTAAAACTATGTATAGTTTTAGGACATTCTGTTTTAAGGGACCGTTCATAATTCATGGCTAGGGGGTGGTGATGATGTTAATGGGGAGTCACCCATTTTGTTCTGGGGAGGTAGGGGGGTCAGAAATGTTGTACACATGTACTTGTACTTGGTGGTGGTGGTGTGTGTGTAGGGGGGAGGGGGTGGTGGTGTCAGCAATTGTGTACATATAAACATTAAAAACTTATGCTTAAAAATTACGGGGGAGTAATAGACCGATCCAGTCCCCGTTGATAAGCCCCGCCCACTTCGTTTTTTACGTTAGGGGGGACAACCACTGAGTAATCACAATGGCGTCACCGCCGGCGAAATGTACGTGATTGCGAATGTTGTTGATGAATTCTGCTTGTTGTACTTTGGTATCCGTCGTTTGTGAATGATATTTAAAAAGGAAAGTTATACATATTTTATTTTCAATATATTTTAGTTGACAGGATGTATAATTGGCGAGTGAAAATGAGTTAAATCTACATGCCCGATGAAAAATCGTCTCAGCCAGCTGCTGAGATTGGGAAGCGTAATTTCTACCAAATAATCTATCCGGCAATTCAGGTTCGTCTAAGATATTAGTAGGGGAAAGGTAACTGAATTATGTTGTTTGTTGTTTTTTCTCAAAAATTCCCATCGTAATATTATAAAAACCGTGAACACAACCACATGATCAAGTTGTAGATCGTTTGGGTATCTATAAATAGATTGTCAAAACTGCGCGCGCCGCATTTATTTATTTATCCGTTTGTGAAAACATTGGTTTCTACCTTTTAAGGAACAAAGCAGGAAAACAGTATACCATCTACTACTTCATGGAAAACGTTACTGGACTTGTTAACAGTATGTTTCCATGGATGTATCTGGACATACCCAGAAGCAAATATTCAGCTGCTAATCTGCAGCTATTCTCAGTAAAATTTCTCTCTTCAAAGTCTATACACCATCCTAAAATGACACTGAATATAAGAAAATCCATTTTTTTTATAATCCTTTCCAATTTATTTTTCTATGTGTACTTTGTTGTGGAATCCTCATCTACAAGCTTCCACTAAACTGGACTTGGAAAAAAACGCATTGCTAATTTCTTCTCTAATCTCTCCTCAGTAAATCCTTCTTTTACGTTTCCCATCTCCCTCCCACTGCGTCTGTAGTTAGGCCGAAGTTAGTTTAACAGATATTTCACACTTTCACATATTAACTACCTAAATTGTAGGTATAAATGTGAAAAAACATTTTTTTTCTATTTCTGACAGTACTTTAGGATTGAAATAGAATGTTACACAACATACAAATATACTGCTTTTTCTTCAGATATATTTAACTGCTAACTACTAATGTAAATAAGAGGCAAAGAATGTATTCAACGTTTAAAGCATTTTGTCACTAAAATTACATATTGACATTTTTTCTTCTTAAACAATGATAATCTTTGTTTCATTAGATCTGATACCATCTGATCTTAGATCTGAGTCGGTCGCCTTTCCAACAGTATCTTTTTTCACAAAAACTAAAAATAGCACTACATCTAGCCTGCCATCAACATTCTACATTTGTTACTAAAATTCCTACATAAATCTGATATGTCCCTCCTCTTCCACCTTCACTTTGATATCGTTACCATATCAAATACAGTCATCCCTCACAATGTAAACTGCGGAGTTAAACCGCGGGGTAAAATTCCATAAAAGGTTGCCTAGGATCGAAAATAGCAATCAACAAATCCGGCTGTTGAGCTCTGGTTAATCATGTTGTAAATCCAGTGAAATTTTTTGCAGATGTTTATCATACTTATCCATGTTTTTTTCAGATGTTTCAAACATTCAGGGTTTTCTCAATAATAATCAGACGAACAGCGAAACATCGTAATGAGTTATAAAAGACAACATCAGCCGAATACTTACAATGTTTGCTGTGATGCAACACACCGCGTTATTGCGCGGGTAAACACTGCCATCCGAGAACGTATAATGTCAGAAAACACATTTTATTTGATTAAATTCAATCCCATTTTCATTGATTAAAACTGTTAACAGTAACAACGGAGAAACCGCGAGTGAAATGGCATTGCCTCGTTCCATACAACTTCCGATTACCACATTCGTGAGGGTCAGCTTTTCGCGCCTACCGCGATAGTACCAATTTCACATTTTTCTCAGCAATCATGAACAGATTACAGCCTCGTCATCCATGGAACCCAAGACCCGCGTTATTGACTCATTGAAGTCATATTTGACAATTAATTGCCAACATTTTGGGTTTACAATCAAAGTGGCACGTATAGGTCTGTCTCCTATTCTCGCGATAAACATGTTTTCTGCCGAAATCCCCGATGCGCGACACTTACCGGTTGTTTACATCACTGACTGGTAACTAGGAAATGGCCCAAGTCTGTGAGTGATCAAAATCTTGCAGTGTCACGAATATTGGGGAGTTTATACCAACTTGGACATATCATTACTTTTTCCCGCCCTTTCTGGCAGGATTGCTCTTACATACACTCAATAACGTTAATTCCTGGTTATAAAACATGAAGCAAAATCAATTTTGTAGTTACAAGAATTGTCCGTGTTTATAACACTTGCAAAATCCTAAACTGCTATTTGTTGTCATCTATTGGTAATGATTTTGCACATGTGGGAAAGTGTGTAAGTTCATGCAAATTCTCACTAGGGATTAGGGTCATTCACGTTGTACATGCTTCTGCATAAAAATCATCATCCCCCTTGCCGTAAAAAAAGGACAGTCCCTAATGAGGACCTATATATGCTGCATATACGACAACAGTGTGGGGGCGGTGGGGTAGCCTAATGGTTAAAGCGTTGGCTCGTCACGCCGAAGACCCGGGTTCGGATCCCCACATGGGCACAATGTGTGTGAAGCCCATTTCTGGTGTCCCCCGCCGTGATGTTGCTGGAATATTGCTGAAAGCGGCGTAAAACCATACTCAGTCAGTCAGTCACAACAGTGTGTTAAACTGAGAGTCTCTGAGATTCATCTGGGTTTGGATATTTTCAAGGATATTATGTGTGTGAGGCGAGATGAAATTGGCTTGAATTGGCGTTTAGGATTATTGCACTTATAAAGTGGCTTTCTTGCAGTGTCTTGTGGGAAACTGCTTAGGTGGACCCAGACTAATACCAGGGTATGAAACTCCCATAGCTGTCAGCCAGACCTTAGGGCTGGTTAGATGTAAACCTTGCCAGCCCTGACCAAAACTTACCTGCCCACGAAATATCTTCATATGTCTATATTTTAACCCGACCTTCAGGCAGGTGAATTTAAGAATCTAGCAGTCCGTGTTGAAAATAACCCGTCCCGGGCGGTTGGGCAGGCAGGTGTATCGAACGCTGATAATACCCATTTTATTGTTCAAGCCCATACCATTTTGCATCTTAACATGAAAACCCCACTCAAACACATTTGTTTAGTCTGAGAGGACAAGTTCATGTTTTATCCCCTATATTCTGAGCAACAGGCAGGGTTAGAAGAAGTACCATATTCTAATGTCTATCACTAACAGCATCGGATGGTCAGGTTCACTGACTTGGTTGACACATGTCATCATATCCCAATTGCATAGATAGATGCTCATCCTGTTGATCACTGGATTGTCTGGTCCAGACTCCATTATTCATTAGACTAGGGGTCTCTCAGCAGTCAGTCAGGGGCGTAGCTACCATTATAAAAAAAAAAAGCCCGGGCTTACACATGATTGTTGCTAAGAAGGTTGGGCAAGCCCTCAATACTATCTAAATATACAGCTTTGCAACTTATCGGGCTTACGCGAAAAATTTGGCTTGCTACGCGCCTGTTAGTGCCAGGAACATTTAAGTCTACCAGGTAATCTGGAGTGAGTGAGGGGGAGAGTGGGTTTATGCTGCTTTAATCTATATTCCAGCAATGTCGCAGTGGGGGATGCCAGAAATGTTCTTCACACATGGTACCCATGTGGGGAATTGAACCCAGGCTTCAGTGTAGTGATGGGACTCTTTTCCCACTATTCTACCCCACCACCCTTCCAGCTAATCAGAGGCTA